CAAATTGAGTCCCAAGCACACAAACTTCCACTTTTCAAAAGGAATCAAGTCAGAATGTAAAAGTCTTATGTATTCATGCACAGCTATATTTCTGAGGAAAGTATATTCTGCTCTCTCTGTATAGTCTAATCAGAAATGTGATCTCACCGTTGCATCTCAGCAGTAATAAAGATTTGACCTAACTCAGGCAGTATCATGCCAACCTACCAGATGTGACTGAAATCCTGTAATTCCTATTGCACTTTTGTTTTGACTTTCCATAAGTTATTAAACCCTAAAGGCCTGGTGGGCAAGGGTGTGGGAGAGAAGGGGTCCCTCCCCCTACCTTTTTGCAGTCCACAGAGGAGTCGGATACAGTTGCAGACCCTGCTCTCTCCTTAGTGTGGTACAGTGTGCATGCCATTGCGAAAGCCTGGCATCTTCAGAAGTCATCCTGGAAGGCTGGATCTTAATGCCACTATCCACTCTGAGGAGTTATAAGGAAAGGCACAATGGGACAAAAAAGCATTAGGAATGCGAGGTCACTTTTTGTTGTTGTTGCAATACAAGTTCTTCAAAATAGCAATCTCCAGATACTGCATTCCTACGATCTCCTCGGACTGGATTTTCCAATAAGACATGCAGGTTATTTAGTGGGGTTTCATAATGACAAATATCTTCAAAGTCACACACATTCGGAAAAGGTCAAAGCTATTTAACCAATTTGGTCACTATGACCTTCAAGGTGTTTTAGGTGGTTCTGTCTATATCCTTTCAATCCTTGGTCTCTCTCTGCTGAAATGGCTAACAATAGTGCAAATGCAGTGGGGAGTGAGATACAGACTATTTTTTTACATTCCTGTAACCTTTATTTGCCATGTGAGGACAAGACTCTTTGAATATTGAACTTCATATATTTTCCTTTAGTACTGTACAGTACTCATATACCATTAGAGGTGCAACATAAATAAAACAGACACTTGGATTTAATAACCTAAAACAGGTCCAATAACTCAGTCAGACATCTTCAGCACCAAGCTCCCATTCCAGTAGCCGGCTCACAATCATCCATGAGTCATCCTGTCATCCACACAATCCTTGCTGTCATATGGTCTGGTAATGTCAGCCCAACCTGTCTTTGAGACCTGAGTTTGCTTTTTGTTCAAAATAGTATGCGTTAGACCTTCTAAAACCAGACACTTCTACCTGATTTATAGATAGATGGCCAAATTCTGGTTTCAGTTACACTTCAGCTACACAGTTGAAGACAGGTCTTCACATGGCTAGACAGACAAGGTGTAAGCAAGGGCAAAATTTGGACTGAAGTGGCTAGTAAAAAAGATGATGAGAAACAAGGTGGGTGAGGTAATATCTTTTATTTGACCAATTTAAGTTGGTAAAAGAGACCAACTTTCAAGCTACACAGAGTTCTTCGGGTCTACAGCTAAATAGAAGGTGGAACAGATTGTTTAGCATAAGTAGCTAACACATATTCTAACAGATCATTCAAGGCGAAGTGGCCCATTAACACCCCGACAGTCATAGGACAAAAAAAGCGAGTTAATGGGTTTCAGATTGCTGTAATAAGCCATAAATCCAGTGTCTTTATTAAGACCATGATTTTTAATGTCTAGTAAAGTTATGAATTTAAGCTCCCAGGCTCGTCCTTTCAAGGTGTGCAGGTTTCCTTTGAGGACATGGACGGAGAGGTCAGATATGAAGAGATTGTTTTGTGAAAAGGGTTCACCCCCATGTGTCAAGCTCTGGTTCCAGGCATTCAGGCCTGGTGGTTGGAGTGTTGTTTGAAGCTGAATGGAGGGTCGGGACTGGGCTGAGGGCTGCACTGAAAATGGAGTCCGGGGGACACGCTGTGGGTCAGTTCTGAGGTCAGAATTCATAGAAAAGCAACATCAGTATTGTAGTTGGAGTCCAGATACGGCTAAAGGTTGAAGCTGAGTTGGAGTCAGTCCGATGGTCTTGGGGTTCAGGAGTCAGATGCAGGGCTGGAGTAGGTCAGTAACAGGGTTGGAGCAAGGTCAGAATAGGGCATGTACAGAGCTGGAGTGGGCTAGAACAAGGCTCAGGCAAGGCTGGGGCAGGAACAGGAATGAGACCAAGGACAGGCTGGAAGCCTAGAGGAGTCTGTAACACCACGAGACAGCAGAAGGGTTCCTGGCTGAGTAGTGAAATTGCACAGACTAACTAATACCGGTGCCTGAGTATAATGTGACTGGGACCCTGGTCAGGAACAGGCTGCTGCTGAATGCCTGAGTGATGCGTCACTGCAAGCTCTGTTGGAGGAGTCAGTCATGGCAGCTGAATGAGCAGCCCTGGTCTGACTGCAGGTTCGCCTCACAACAGGCAATATGGTGTTTTTGTCTTTTATCGTTTTTTCTCTGTGAATTCATTCAAGAGCATAGTGATTGGTTTCACCCATATAGTTGTTATTGGGGCATTAAGTACACTGGATGAGGTACACCACATGTTGTGATAGTCCTCTTTCGGACCCCTGGCTCTTGGAAGGTGTGTTGTGGGGAGTATTGATCATTAGAGATACATCGGCAGGCTTTGGATCTGTTATTATGGCAGGGTCTGGTGCTGTTTTGAGCTGGTGTGTCCTCGTCTGTGGGGAGCTTGGCAAGATTGGGGGGGTTGTTTGAAGGTCAGAAGAGGGGATTCAGGAAAGATTTATTTCAGAATGTGGTCTGAAATTTTCCCATCGAAAAATGAAGAACCTCTAAAGCAGCTTGTTTCTCATGAATATGTCTAGGAGTCAAAGCTCCATTAATTTATTTTATTTTTTCCTCTGAGGTTAATGTTGTCGTATACATTTTGGTAAAAGTCAGCTGTTGGCATTCAAGCCTTTTTGTGTGTGAGGGGCTACATGTGATGGTAAACAAGTGAACAAATTTCACTAAGGGCTCTGGTGGTTGTAGCTGTGGCTACCTGGAAGGGTTAATAGAGACATAGATTCCAAGGCCAGAAGGAACCACTATGAGTATCTAGTCTGATTTCCTGTATAGCACAGGCCATAGAACTTTCCAAAAATAATTCCTGGGCCATCTCTTATAGAAAAACATCCAATCTTGATTTAAAAGTTGTCAGTGATGGAGAATCCACCACAACCCTTGGTAAATAGTTCCGATGGTTAATTACTCTTACTGTTAAAAATGTACGCCTTATTTCCAGTCTGACTTTGTCTAGTTTCAACTTCCAGGTGTTAGATCATATTATACCTTTCTCTGCTAGAATGAGGAGCCCATTATTAAATGTTTGTTCCCTTTGTAGCACCAGAACTGGACACAGTATTCCAGTAGCAGTTGTACCAGGGCCCAATACAGAGGTAAAATAACCTCTCTACTCTACTCCATATTCCCCTTTTTATGCATCCAAGGATATCATTAGCCCTTTTGGCCACTGTGTCGTGCTGGGATCTCATGTTCAGCTGATGATCCACCATGACTCCCAAATCTTTTTCAGACTATCTGCTTCCCAGGATATAGACTCCTATTGTGTAAGTATGGCCTATGCTCTTTGTTCCCAGATGTACGCATTTACATTCAACTGTCTTAAAATGAATATTGCTTTCTTGCACCCAGTTTACCAACTAATCAAGATCACTTTATATTAGTGACCTGTCTTCTTCATTATTTATCACTCCCCCAATTTTTGTGTCATCTGCAAAATTTTTATTGATGATTTTATATTTTCTTCCTGGTCATTGATAAAAACGTTAAATGGAGTAGGGCCAGGAGCAGATCCCTGCGGGACCCCAGTAAAAACATGCTTACTTGGTGATGATTCCCAGTTCACTGTTACATTTTGAGACCTATCAGTTAACCAGATTTTAATCTGTTTAATGTGTGCCATGTTAGTCATATATCAGTCTAGCTTTTTAATCAAAATGCATGCAGCACCAAGTCAAACCCCTTACATAACTCTAAGTATATTACATTAACTCTATTACATTTATCAACCAAGCTTGTAATCTCATCAAAAATATTATATTAGTTTGAAAGGATCTATTTTCCATTAACCCATATTGATTGGCATAAATTACATCACCCTCCTTTTATTCTTTATTAATCGAGTCCTATATCAGCTTCTCCATTATCTTGCCTGGGATCAATGTCAGACTCGGGACATCACATTTATCTTCTATTTTTTATATTTGCACAACATTACCTTTCTTCTAGTGTTCTGGAACTTCCCCAGCGTGCCAAGTCTTATTGAAAATCAACATTAATGGTCCAGCAAGCTTCTCAGATGGCTCTTTTGAAGCTCTTGGATGCAAGTTATCTGGATCTGCTGATCTAAAAATGTCAGACTTTAGTAACTGTTGTTTAACATCCTCCTGAGCTGATAGTGGAACAGAAAGAGGTTAATAGAGTGCAGGAGCTACTGCAGCAAGCTTACCGTGAGACAGATGACAGCTGAGATTTTCAAAGGTATTTAGATTCCTGGGACTCAGGCACTTAAATACCTCCGAGGATCTTGTTCCAGCCAGACTGGTGAACAATCAGTGATGGCTTTAGGTGTCTAAGGAGTAATGTCTTGCTTCTCTTTCCCACCTTATCGAAAATAGAAGAGAGAGATTGGTTTTTTTAAATTTGGAGTTCTTGCAATAAAGCATTGCCTAGTAAAAAAAAAAAATCATCTCAGTCCTTGACATGAACAGACTTAAGGGTTATTGGGTTAGAAACAATACCCATAGCATTGTACTTCTTTTTACTCTCATATTTCTATGACTTTCATTCTTTCACCCTGAGTAAATTTAGACTAGTTGTACAAAGTACCAAGACAGAAATCACAGCCCCACTCATTAAGTAGAACCTTGATGCTGTTAAACTGGCTAGTTACTTTAGAACTGTACAAAAAAATTATCACCACTAGATGGCATTGATTCAGCATCTAAACTCAAAATACAGCCTTGACATGAGCACAGCTGAATCCCGATCCATGCAGAGGGCTAAAAACAAATGATCCAGACATATTTAACCCCTTCTCTCTTCGGTGAGTATACACTATCCATACTGAAGATACTTTTTTTCTTCTTGTCTATACCAGTGTGCGGTGTTGTTGTGCATTGCTAAATAGCTACCTTGCTTCAGTTCTGAGGTATATGCATTTTAGTGGTGGATGGTCCCGAAAACGCTCCTTCCTCATTTTGAAGTAATGCAGTCACTACTGCTCATCCAAGAGAACAGCTGAGGTTGTCATGGTCCAGACCCAAAAGCAGCACTGTATGTGGTGAACATCATCAAATATTGCCTGGATCCAACAACTCCAGAGGTGGGAGGTATACAGCTGTTGCAGCAATAATTCCAAGAGCTGCTGGTCTTGCTCTCTGGCTGTCCATTGGTCCTGCTAGAACACTCTCCACTGCCCTATTGCAGCTGCCTCAATCACCATGCAACTCTTCAAAGACTGGAGCAAATTCTTTTCTTTCTGAGCAAAGAGCAAGAACTGACCATGCATGCTGACCTCCATTTTCAGGAAAGGACTGGGAAATAGCACTGGTTCCTGCAGGCTTCTGGGATTTTCCAAGGGATTTAAGGTAGGTTGACCTCTTCTCCTATAATGCATATGGGAACTTCAGTATTTTTTATCTTGACAAACTGCATACTGTGCATTACAAAAAAACCCGTCACCTAGGCTTCACCCCAAAGAAAGCATAATTGCCGTTCCCATTCCAGATCACAAATTCTGCCAACAGCTGAAGCCAAATTTTTTGTAGATTAAAGGCATGTGGGATGAGAGGCAGGATAGATATAACTCTGGAGCCAGAGGATTCGATCTGCCAAAGGTTGTCTTGGTATGTAAATGGGTTAGGAGTGATGAGGGGGAAATAAGTATCAGGGGGTAGCCGTGTTAGTCTGTATCTACAAAAACAACAAGGAGTCTGGTGGCATCTTAAAGACTAATAGATTTATTTGGGCATAAGCTTTCGTGGGTAAAAACCTCACTTCTTCGGATGCACCAGAGGGGGAAATAGGATTTCATAAGGTGCCAGTATGACTCCATATGTGAAGCATTTTAATAATCAGTGACGTGTTACTTGACATCTACCATTATTTCTGGATTTGTAGGTGTGTGTTATTTATAGGATCATATCTGAAAGTTTAGCCTGACCTGAGAACATGGAACACGTGGCATGGTGTGTTGCCATAAATTCTTGTTCCTTCAATCAAAGGAAGGCTAAATTCTCCTTGAAAAAAATGAGGAAACCATTTGGCTCTTCTTTCATGTTGTTCCACAGTCTGGATCAGTGATTTAAAATATTTTATTTATTCCATATCATATCATGGAAAAAAAGTTCTAAGCAAGTCATCTGGTCATATATGACCTTTTTGATTTCTCACTAGCTGTAGACCTTATTGAATAAATGCAATTTATAAATGGAAATATATCAATATGTGAGGAGTACTGAAAAGAACTCAAGCAGCTCTGTTAACGAAAAAGAAAAGAGAAAAGGTTTGCTCAGCAAAACTCACCAGCTCTGAGAGAACATACCAAAGAGATCAGAAACTTCTTAATTAGCTGACCAGTGGACTAACTTGTGTCAGCACATGGAATTAAAAACTGCAGATATTGGCTAAAAAATATTTGCACACTAAGATACGTAACCTCTCTGTGTATATCCCTAATAGTGTTATTGGCAGTTGTGTGTGGAATGAGGAAAGAATCTGCAATTTATTCTGTAACTGCTACTCATGCTGAGTGAAATCAATGGGACTACTTGTGGAGTAAGGACTATTCAAATTGAGTAATGGTGACAGAATGTGGAGTCCAATCAGTACCATATTCTCCCCTCACTCCAAACACAATTTCCAGCAACACCAGTGATAGAATGAGCTTGGGGGTCTGCAGACCCAGGGATTTGTCTTGGATCCGTCTCTAATATTTTCAGTTCTTTCCTTGTTCACTTGAGGAAGTGGCAGAGTTAAAGATACCAGGGGCAGTTTATCACTTAATTTTACTTTGTAATCCAGAACACAAAAAGGGAGAGACTACTTGGTTGTTGAAGGATTAAACTCTGAATTTTCCTCATATACCATATTAAATAGATTCCCAAAAAACATTCAGGAGCAGATTCGGAAGTAACACATAAGATGGTGTAGTGAACAGGGCCGGCTCTAGGCACCAGCAAAACAAGCTGGTGCTTGGGGCGGCACATTTTTAGGGGCAGCATGGCCGGTGCCAGAATGCCACCCCCAAAAATGTGCCCCGGCCGCCCTAGCTCACCTCCGCTGCTGCTGCCATGGCGTGCGAAACAGCTGATTCGCGCCTGGGAGGGAGGGGAGCAGCGGCACGCGAATCAGCTGTTTTGCGCGCCGCGGCGGCTCAGGGTCTCCCCCTCCCTCCCAGGCTCTCAAACCTGGGAGGGAGAGACCCCGAGCGGCCGTTTCGCGCGCCGCTGCTCCCCCTCCTCCCAGGCTTGGGAGCCAGGGGAGGGAGGGGGGAGAAGCGGCGCCCGCGCCGCGGCCACTTGGAGTCTCCCCTCTCTCCCAGGCTCTCAAAACCTGGGGAGGGGAGGGGGGAGATCCCGAGCAGCCGTTTCGCGCACCGCTGCTCCCCCTCCCTCCCAGGCTTTGGAGCCAGGGAGGGAGGGGGAGAAGCGGCACCCGCGCCGCGGCCACTTGGAGTCTCCCCCTCACTCCCAGGCTCTCAAACCTGGGAGGGAGGGGGAGACTCCGAGTGGCTGCGGCGCGGCGCCACTTCTCCCCCTCCCTCCCTCCCTCCTAGGCTTGAGAGCCTGGGGAGAGGAGGCAGGGCTGGGGATTTGGGGGAAGGGGTAGAGTTGAGGCGGGGCCAGGGGTGGGGTAATTAAACAAGGGGGGGGCGGCCAAAATTGGGCGACAAAAATCCTAGAGCCGGCCCTGGTAGTGAAGCACCTTATACCCACTTACTCTCCCTTAGGTCTACTTACACTATGTGTATCAGCGTGTAAGGGAGTTTGAGTGGGTGAAACTTACATACTGAGAAGCAGGACAAGATTTAAGCAGGTGTACATTAATGTAGGATGGGTGCTGTCAGAGGTGAGGTTAACAAGATACCCATTCGGAAAGTTTTCTTATATTTGACCTGAACAATTGTAATAGTCAGTTTTCTGAACATCCTGTTATTCTTTTAAGAATCTTGGAAATTTGAGATGGAATAGACATTTCTGGACATTTATATTGGTCCATCTCCACTCGCCAATGCAGTTATTCTCTACAATGTTTTCTAAAACCATTTCCTGTCATCTTTTGTTAATTGTCTCAAGTGGGGTGGTTTCCAGCATTTACCTTAGAAGACTATTTTAAATTATAATAGACCTCACAGTTAGGAAATTCTGCTGATATTAAGATTAAAGGCTCTTAACTTCATTCCAGTACCTCCCTTTTATTACTCTAGCTATTGTTCTCTTACTGGCTTACATCCTTCAAATATTTGTGGACAGATATCCCCTCTTTCACTCTCTGTACTTCCCCAACCAGTCATCCTTTAGCTAAACTTTAGATGGTGGATCAAGATTCTGATACCCTTATTTAGCTAAGTAGTGCCTTAATCCATGAATAGTCTCACAGTTTCTGGTGTCTTGGCTGCTCTTTGCCACTTTTTGTCTCTCCCTTTTCTCCAGTGGAACTACTGGCAGAATACAGTACTACACAACATACAGGACTCAGAATCTGACCCTGATTTACTTTAATCTCTAACCCTAGATCAGTCTTTTCAATCAGTTAATTAATTAATTAATGTTGTTAATTAATGTTGCTCTAAAATTTGTCTACATCTTTCTGGCCATTGAGCTGCCTTCAAATGAATGCAATAAAGATGCAGTCTCACCAAACCCATATTGAGGTGGAAATGACACCTCTTTGCTCTGTGACATGATTCCTTTGAATAGAGAATGTAGCTCAGAATTGCGTTGGCTTTTGAATTTGTCTTCCTTGTTATTCTTCAGAACAATTCTTGTACAGTTTGCCAGCTAGCAACAATTAATGAGTTACAATAACCCCTCTTTTTTATCAGTTGTTTTATTTACTTTGATTCAGTAGGGATATGTCTTGTAGATCAGACTGGTGAAGGTAATTGTTTTCTGAATTTGTCTACGAGTGCCCAGAACACTTACATAAAACCAGGAAATATGTCTGATTTTAAATCAGTGCATAACCAGTGCATGAATCAGTGTAAACCTTCTATTTGACAAGATTTCTGTAATCCGGTGTTATCATGTTTATATCTGTGGAGATTATCTCAACCTCTATGAAGTTACTTATAACAATATTGTTTCACCCTCAGCCTCTTACAACAGGCATTACTCTTTATCACTCTTCTACATGCAAAAAGAATTTAGTCCGATTAATAAAAACTGGCAGCATCTTCTCTGAGTTGTCCTAGCCTTTTGTGTATAGATTAACACTTATCATTTCTCCTGTTACATGTATCACAGCCATGAGAGTTTTTCGATTCTGACTTTCAGTTGATCACTTTCACAGATCTGTACTTTCAGATGCTAAAGCTTCAGAAGGATTGGGCATTTTGAAAGTTAAAAACTGAACAAATTCTCAAGACTTTTCTATACTGCTTGTTGTTTGGATGTCACTGGCCAACAGCTAAGGAGCATTGCCACTGCAATGTTCTTATGACACTGAGCCGTAGCATCTGTGGCAGTATGTGATCATATGCTCATAATCTTGATTTTATTACCCAATATTTTAAAAACTAAAGTGGAAGCAATTAAAGAATTAGAGAGGTCCTCCACTGCATAGGGCATCAAGAACATATCTAATTTTAACTGAGCACAACATTCAGAGAGTTTGGTAAAAGTACATATTTGTATAATGTGTATGTCAAAGGAAATGATTCCCTTTCCATGTCTTTAACATGACACTGTTGCTGTACCAGAAGCTCATTTACATGGTGGCATTGTGTGAAGCCCCTTGCAGTTTCTAATGACAGACAAACACATGCTGCTTCAGTAGCTAGCTCTGAGTGTTACAGCTGAATGGACTGGAACAAGAGGAAATGGAATAATTTGTCCAGGCTCTCCCAGCGAACCAGATGCTTAGACAGAATTTAAAGATTTTTTGTTCTTTACCTCAAGAGTTCATTAGTTACAATTTGTACAATTTACCATAAAAAGGACTATAAACATTCGATCATGTCCTTAAAAAAAATCACAGATCTAAGATGCTTTGCCTTCACAGTGCAGAGCTGGAATAGAGAGAACTGAAAATCTGGAGAGATGGTTCTATCTATTATCATACATTGGTATTGTAAAAGCGATTCTTCTGCAGAAAGTTACATCTGGACCATAGTTAATTCTCTGCTGTTTCAGAATGTGACAGAGGGCAGTTGCAGAATATACAGATTTCATCCTAAATCTCTTTGTTACATCCCTTTGCTAAAACATTCCTTATAGGCATTCTTCTTCTGTTGCTCTCTATTCCTTATGTATCTATCAACTATAAGTGCCTGTTAATGGCTTTTAGTCCACCCTCATGTGACTGGCAAACACCTTCATCTTTGTAGGAAAATTAAGCGCACTCCCAAATTGATGTAACAAGCATCCATAAACTTAAGAACCATATTCAACAGCTGTGACTCATGCTACTAGCAAGATAATTGAGGCTTAATGCACTAAAGTAGGAAGCAATATTACAGGTAGACATTTGCATTGGATCTCTGAGGATGCTTTTAAAATTCAGCAGATCTAGTAAAATCAATTAAGCCTATCTAGTCAATATGTACCCAGGACTGAAAAGAATCTCAAAGACACTCTGATGAGTAAAAGTTTTTGCTCTCCTAATATACAATATATACATCATGAATTCTATTCTAATTATCTCTCTCTCTTCTCAAAGAATCAACATCTCCTACAAAGTCTATGCTGGGAAAAATGCTGAAGGAAAGGAAAATAATGTCAGCTGATGGTGTCATCCCTCATGGAAAACATTCTGAGGTTAATTACCAATTTGGTTGCACTTACAAAGTTTGCTGGAAAGATGATCCATCCTGGGAAGACATAAGTGTCTTGTTTTTTCTAAATGATATTCAATTGTGTTGAATGCTGGTGAATGTCTGACATCTGCCCCTTTCTTCCTGAGATTAAGCACTGACCTCTATGTTCTGCCAACAACAATTCTCTTTTTTCCATTTATTTCAGGATCTACAGCATCTGTAGTTTTGGAAAACTTACTCCCGGCTGGTTTTTTTTTCCTCCTTGTATTTTGGCACCTAGGCTGTTATTGTTTTTATAAGCTATCAAATATGCAGCTACAAAATCAGGATAGATAATTTGAACAGAGGATTCATTATTAATTTTAATCTCATACATTTTTTGCCAACCCTCCACTTTTCACTTACAAGGAAGCAGACAAACAAACTTGGCTTAAAGAAGATATCTCAACTATAGTCTCAATATCCATCATCCTACGCTTTCACAGTTGCCATGAAATAATGATCAGTTTTTACCACCCAAAAGACCATGTGTGACTAGAGGTGAATTGTGATTTGGTATGTAATTTGTTCCAAGCTTCAAAAAGCTTTTCAAGGTCAATGAAAATTCTAGATTTTTTTTTTAAAAAACATGCCAAAAAAAATCACCTTTACCAGATTTTATAAAAATGTCATTCTGTTTGTTGGTTTCTTTTGTTTGTTTTTTACAGCACTTCATTTTATAATGGACTAATTTTGTGCAGTCATAGGGAAACAGTCCACCATATCTGCAGCTGAAATCTTGTTTGTGTACATTTTAGGAGGACAGCACAATAAAACTTGGGAGTGAAGGTGTCACTTCTGTGTTTAAATGGCTGTGAACTGAAACAGAGATAATATTTGTAAGTATAATGGTTGAATAATTTATAGTTTAGAAGTCATGCATGGCAAGAGAGTATTTCTCTTATAAAAATTTATTATTTAGGATCTATTGACTAGGAAAACATATTAGAGGATTTTCCAATGCAAGGGGGGGGAAAATATAAATAAAAAGAAAGTCAAGGAAGGGTATGCAAGATTCACATATCAGGTAGGCTCATATACATAGGAGGCACAGAACAGAAATTCTGGATGAAGAGAATTGTAGGGAAGTTCTTATGAATATGAATGAAAAATGAGATATGAAATAACAAGGTACAGAAACGAGAGACAGAGCTGTCCCTTGGGTATGGAGAATTGGGGCAACCCCTCCGGGCCCTGTGCTTTGGGGGGCCCCACGCTTCATTGTGTGTGTGCCATGCAGAGGGCACTAGGCTGGCCCGGGGCGGGGCTTAGGGGTGCCTGGGGGGCCAAGCTAGCTCGGGGGGTTAGCGGGGGGCCTGGTGCCAGCAGTGGGGGTCGGCCCCAGACTCACCGGAGGGAAGCACATGTTGTGTTTCTTTTTCTTGCTCAGCATCACAGGGCTCAGGCTCCGGCTCCGGCAGCAGCGACCCCAGCCCGCCCCACTCTGTCCTGCCCCGCCAGCTCCTGGCGTTGCCCACCGCCGCACCGGTCGCCAGCATCCTAGCGCCACCGGACACGCCAGCACCAGGCTGACCCCATCCATTGCCATTCTGCCCCGGACTCTCCCTTTTCCAGGACCTCCCAGCACACGGGGCCCACTCGCCCTAGCACAGATGCCACCCTGTGACTCTCCATTGTCCCTCACCCCCCAGCACTGGTGTCCCCTCCCCACACCAGATTTCACCTGTATAAAAAATGTTAAAGGGGGGCCCATAAAGACTGATTTGTCCTGGGCCCCACACCCCACTAGGGATGGCCCTGATGAGAGAGCAGGGGTTTTTTTTAGTAAGACCTCTGGACTATATAATTGAGTACAAGGGAAGAAAGAGTTTTTGCGCTCTCTCATCAAAAGATATTGCATAGCCACATGTTAAAGCACATTTTACACAGCCTGCTTACATCTCTATTCAGCAATAATTTAGCTTTGTGATCCATGAGTTTCAATGTCTTAGCATCTATCGATCCTCTCTCAAAAAATAACCATGGCAACAGAATGCCAACAGCAACATTCTACTCCACTCCTGTCAGTTCAAAGGCTTATATGACATCAAAAGACTCTATTGGGAATGTTAAAGGACACTTACGAATACATTACGTGAGATAGCGCTTGCCTATGTGACAATTACTCTTGGCTAGAGTCTACATAAGTCAGGCTTCCAGATGAAGCAGCAATATAATCCAAATTGCAAAACAGCTTATTCTAGAATAATACAAAAATACCCAGATTATTTAGGAAATATCCCTTTCCATTCAAAAACATAAAGAACTGTAAGTACCAAAGAATATTAGGCCACCACAGGCTTTTTAAATACAGAAATATCTCCAGTTACTTGGAATTTGTGGCTAACATTTGGGGTTTGCTGATGCAATACAGTGGTTCTCACCCAGAGGTCTGGGGACCCCTAGCAGGTTTCAGGGGGTCCGCCAAGCAGGACCAGCATTAGAGTCACTTGAGGCTCAGGGAAGAAAGCTGAAGCCCCACCACATGGCCTGCTTGCTACCCCCTAATGCTGGCCCTGGCTTTTACATGCAGAAAACCAGTTATTGTGCACAGGTGGGATGTGAAGTTTTTATAGCATGTTGGGGGGGCCTCAGAAAGAAAAAGGTTGAGAACCCCTGCAATACAATATTCTTTTTAAGTTTCAATTTTATAGACAGGATTTCTCATTACTGCTATTAAACATAATGCAGGCCTGTCATTGGAGAGCTGAAGAGAGACCATACTATGTATAAATGTAATAGAATACTAGCTCACTTTAGTACTGTGACAGGTGGTAGATCCACATTATGAATTATGGCATTGGAATTTTTAAATATATACATATAGTATATAGAATTTTTAAATATATATATATATATCTATATAGTATATTGGAAAGACATATGGTATTTTGATCATACGCTAATAACTAATGGAGATCTGTATTCATGAAATAACTTTACAATTTCCCAAAAGAGAATCTGGTGCTATTCTTTCTACTGGACTCCATTATTTATGTATTTTGGTTGAAATTTACCTTTCTGGATTTTAGTATTATGAAATAAACTATTTTGTATTTTGGCTATATACCCATACATGTCCAAATGCTTTAGTTACTAGAAGCCCAACAGTACAGCACTCAGAGGGAGCATAAAAAAAACTCTCTAAAAGTGACTTCAAATTGTCTTTCTATTCCTAGAAATATCACAAATTTAAAATATGATTTCTCAAACCCTTCCATGGCAAAAGCCAACTGCAGGGTCCTGTTGAGAAGCTGTAAAGCTACCCTTCCCAATGGTGTATAAGTATGTGTGTGTATACTGCATATACACAGACATACCCCATTAAAATGAGTCATAATTGGTTGCAATAAATGCTTTGGAACATCTGTTTATTATGCAGCAAGACACACTTCTTTCTGACAGATCTGTAAGTGCCTTCAATGTACAGTCCATAATCTCCTCTGTTTTGACAGCACTGATTTTGTCATGTCTGGTATGAGACTAATTACAGATGAGATAGGTACATAGAGACATAATCAATAATAAGTAAGTCTATATGAAAGTGTTCAATTTAGATGTCTGTCTTCTGGCTGATATAAGTTCATTTACAGTCTACATGTTATAGAGCAGATAACATATCCTGTACACTCTACTCCATTTTGTGTCAATGTCCAACAATGTGTCATTGCTAAAGAATGTGCCCTTTTCAGAACGAATGAAACCAGAGATGCACCACAGATACTTGGAAAAAAAAAAACCATGATAGTGTTTTTGTAGAGAGGCAAAGGGAGGTTGTTGGTTCATGAGATAATTTGTTTGGCATTAATACCAGTTCTAAATGGTGGATGGACTATCCGCCTTTCCTTCTTAGGCAAAATTCCCAGTGACTCTAATGGAAAGTTTAGTGGAGAAAAGACAAAGGGGAGTGGAATCTAGTTAATATTTTACTGATGACAATAAATAATGCTTTTTCTAATAGCAAACGCAGTAGTGATACGTAATTGGTATTAGGAAGGCAATATGTAAATCAGCCTTTTAAAGGAAAATTATCATCTTGAACTTTTTTTAATTTGATAATTTAAAAAAATAAGTTTTCTGATAGAGGGTCTCTTTATTAGTATTTCCTAAAGTAAAAAATATTCTTTGGGAAAAATAATCAGGATTTTTTTCTTTTCCCCCGTTGATGTTTAGAAGGCTCTTTTGAGCAGGGAAAGCATCATATTAATTATGTTGAGTGGTAACCCCTCCTCTTTCTGTGCACATTCCTTCCTGCTGCCTCTCTAGTTTCAATTTTGCTGCTGCTATGATTAGTGAACATCCTCTTGCAGTGCCTGTGGAAGATAGTCCATCATCACCCAGGCAGTGAAATTGGCTGATCCCAACCTTATCAACCTGCTCAAATTGAAGAACCAAGTTTGTGATGTTTTATTTTGACAGAAATTCTATGAATCTGAGCAAACATTATTTTATTGCACTATTTAGAGGTCCCAATTCTTTTAAAAAGAAACAATATTTGCTGTTCTCTCTGCACTACAGTAAAGCTCTGCCTCTAAGAGTGAACAAAACACTTAAAATAGAATTAAGGGTGAGAATCTGATGGATGTACTAGAGAGGGTTCTTCAGTTCTAGCTCCGATCTCTTGTGTGCACAGTTATGTGACAAGGCAAAGTTCTTCTTTCACTAGGTTTGTTTCTTTACTGGGTATTTATACATTTTTGTGTTCTGATTTCATCATACATTGTTGTAATGAATGCCTAGCTGTATTTGGAACCCAATTCGGAGTCTGGAAGCAAGGCTCAAATAAAATGACTTTGCTTGAAGGGGAGATAGTCTCCCCCACAAATCAAAAGCAGGATGCAGATCACCCAAACATCTGGGCTGCAGACAGTTACTGCTGGAGCTGGGGAGAAGGAAAGGCAGACATAGCCCGCTTCTTGCTTCCTGTGTGGGTTTTGCACAAAGGCCCACTGGCCTTGTCCCTGATATGTCTTTCCACACAATGAGCTAAGAGATCTCCTCTGTGGTGTGCATGGAAGTATGGATTTCCCATTACTGTCCCTCCCTGTCTCCCAGTCATGATGCATCAGACATGCAATTTTTAAGCTGCTTTTTGCTCTTACTTTACATGCATGAGGCTCCTGTGGATGTGGCTGTTAATTCATTTGATAGATTTATCCCATGGTCACGATGAATTGTAGCTGTTTCAGTAACAACATAAAGGAACTGCAGAGCAAGTGAATTTCAACAGGATTATTATAGTTCTTATCAAATAAGCAGATAGACAGGCTTCACTATATCTAAGAACTAATGTTCATCGCCTACACAATATATATACACTCAGTCATTTGCATAAACAAGGCAAGCAGAATGCTTCAGAGGGTTTTCTGGGTATTTAGTCTGCCAGTCTGCTGCACAATTGTGAGTTCACTTTTGAATAGAGTAAAATATTAATCATACCGTGTCAAATTTTTCTCTGGTATGATTCCACTGAAGCCAATGGAGGAACACCAGGAACGTATTTGTCTTGTAGGCTCATACTGCATACTTTTGTCTTGGTACACTGTCCATTAATAGTGTACTAATTTTCTTGCTGTGGGATTTAGTGCATCTTCACTCCTTGTTACATACAGGAGGGTTCATTGCTTAAATGTGAGCTTGTACTGTTATATGAATTATAAAGCCAGATTTTTGATGGATGTATTAACAATAGCTTCCTTAAAATGGAAAGGTTCATTTAAATAAAGGTATCTTTCCTCTTAATCCTATCCTTTCCTGTCTTCTCTCTGACTAGTACAACTCCATTGCCTTCCAACTTCGGCATGATTTGCAACTCTTCTCTCCGCACCTCCCTGATATAGGTTTTCACAAAGTCCTGTCACTTTCTCACCTAAAATCTGTTTTCCTCTCTGTTTTGAGTGCTAAACAGTCAGTCTGTACCTTAATCACTTTGCCTCTTGACTGCTGCAATCTCTTCCTTTCAGTTCTTCAATCATTTCTTCTCTTTAATCTAACCAAGACACTGGAGCCAAAAATCTTTGTTTCTTGCTACTTTGATAATGGTATGTCCCACTCCTTGAATCCCTTCACTAGCTTCTGTTCTCTTCTGTACAAAGTGCAATTTTTTTGTCTGCATCTTCAAATCTTGGCTTACATCTTTACCGCTCTCAGCTTTCATTTTCTTTTACATCTGCCCTTGTGCCCAATGCACTGCCCAATCCTTTCTCCTTAGCACTCCCTTTGGTTTTGTCTAGGTTGGAATAAGAGGTCATGGTTGACGCTGTGTCAACCACAGCATTGCTGTAGCATGTAGAAACAAGATAATACACATGTTAACTTGTTGTTGTCAAGTTAGCAGGGAAAATTGCTATTGAAGAACAGCCTATTAGATGGGTGTTGAGGGAAGGAAGAGAAGTATTGATTAAATGGATCCTCCTTAGACATCCATGTGCAAATATGATATTAAGAACATAAGAATGGCCATACTGGGTCAGACCAATGGTCCTTCTGGCCCAGTATCCTGTCTTCTGACAGTGACCAATGCCAGGTGCTTCAGAGGGAATGAACAACAATGGTAATCATCAAGTGATCCATCCCCTGTTGCCCATTCCCAGCTTCTGGCAAACAGATGCTAGGGACACTTCAGAAAATGGTTTTGCCTCCCTGCCTATCCTGACTAATAGTCATTTATGGGCCTATCCTCCATGAACTTTTTTGAACCCAATTTTATTGTTGGCCTTCACAACATCCCCTGGCAATCAGTGCCACAGGTTAACTGGGAATTGTCTGAAGTACTTTTGTTTGTTTAAAACATGCTACCTATTAATTTCATTGGATTACTCCTGGTTCTTGTGTTATGTGAAGGAGTAAATAAATAATACTTCCTTAATTCACTTTTTCCACACCTGTCATGATTTTATAGACCTCTGTCATATCCACTCTTAGTCGTCTCTTTTCCAAGCTGAAAAATCCCAGTCTTTTTAATCTCTCCTCATACTGAAGCTGTTCCATAAACTTAATCATTTTTGTTGACCTTTTCTGTACCTTTTCCATTTCTAATATATCTTTTTTGAGATGGGCTGACCAGAACTGCACTCAGTATTCCAGGTGTGGGTGTACCTTGGATTTATACAGTGGAATTATGACATATTTTGTCTTATTATGTCATATCCATCTATTTGTGAATATCTTGTTCCTGGCTGTTCAACTGGTCAGACTGTTCCTTGGGCTAGTACATTTTTCAGGTCTTGGAGAGTGCTGCAATGGAGGTGAAGTCTGTACTGATGAGCCCTGACTCCACAATGTAAAGAAGTAGAAGCTATTGGATATGTCTTTTGTACATCATAGCTGCAGTAGAGTGACTGGGAGAAAGGAAAGAGAACCAGGCCCTGGCCCCAGAATATCTTTACAGCTAATGAACTGTTTTATTTTAGTAAAGTCTGAAATCAAATGCAGAGGTAAGTCTCTGAGGAAAAGGGGAAAGTTGCCAAGGCTTCTGGAAATTCCAACATAACACAAACTCAGGGCCAACGGAAGGTTGTTGGTGGGAGAGATACAAGCCAGAAGGCTGCCAAAGCTCAAATCCAGGGTAGAGAAAGCTGACTGTAGGAGAAACTCTATTTGAGGACTGAAGAAAACCCAATGTAGTGGCTCAAAACTATGTTACACTTGTGTAATTATATTTTTATGGAGTATTAGTGATACCTGCTTTTTGTATGTGTGCATGTGCATTATGGATTCTTGGCATTTTTATATGTGTGTGTGTAATATATAAAATAGAATATAATTAAGTGTTGTACTTGCAGACTCGAGTACAGGACCCAAAAGAGAATCTGAACTGTAAAACATAGAAAGAACTGAGTTCTGTTCTACTGTGCAGATTTTGTTTCAGTCTGGTTGAGCGCTGCTTAGTTCAAGCTGTTGTTATGAGGAAGTGATAGTTTACATCTCCCATCTCGTGTGTATTGGAAAATTGGCAGCACTACCTTGTAATTCATCACTTCTTGTGAGTCTGGGGACAATTTATCTTGAACTGTAGGGCAAAGAATTATGCTAAGATGTGAAAGCAAAATGTCGTGTTCCTCTGAATTGAATCAACTTTATAAGAAAGAACAGACAGAAACCTTGTCTAAATATTCTACAGAGTTGGAGATTTTTTTATAGACATTAAATTGTATAACTCAACTTTGCACCCTTGAATGCTTCACATCTAAACTGTTCTGCCTTCTGATTAATTCTGTGTCTGTTTGTGAGGAGATGAGTCATGATTAATAATATATACTGTCATAAAAGAAGCTTTTGAATCAACAATATTCACAATTAGGTAATCTCAATAAAGTTTCATTTCTGCCTTAAAGTTGCAGTGCGCATTCCTCCCAATGACAGTATCGTAATGTAGTATGTGCTGATGACAGGGATCTTTAGAAAGCACAATGCAAACTAAACAGTCCTTTAACTATCTAGCAATTGCACATTGGTAATGTGGTTAGTATTTGATCAATGGCTAAATAATTACTCTTTTTAACAGCAAGGGTTTGGTTATTTACAAAACCAGAAATGCTTGCTCATCACATATTTTTCATACAATTTAAATTTCTTCCAAGTTCCCCAAGAGAGGTGAATTTTAAGATGTAACAAATAGTCTGTCTTGCATCTTGTGTTTCTCAGTTACTTCTAGTCATTCATGATGTCGTGTGTGTGTGTGTGTGTGTGCGTGCGTGCGTGTGTGTAGGATATCAGACCTTCTCAAGTATGTGTTGTAAATTACTTTTTATATACTAATGCAGCTGACAGTTTCTCCATTAACTTGAATTGTATTTTCATGTAGATTGTAATATACAATTTAGACTGTTAATTGCCTCAGGGAAAGAATTATATCTTTCTACTTTCTTCTGCAAAGTGTGTCACATATTTTTGGGTCTTAGAAAATAATAATAGAAATAATCATAATATAATAATTAATAATTTAAATTGTAAATAATTAAGAGTTTCAAAGTTTTGAGTAGATATAATTTTGGCTAGTGATTATTATGAGTCAGGAGATATATATTTGTAATTCCTCTGTATAAAGATTCCCGCAAGACTGGGATAATGTTAGCACTCAGATACCATTGCCATGTAACCAGGACCTTGAGATCTTCCAAAGAAATTAGCCCCAACCATCTTTCTTCTGTTTTGACTTTTAGTAGGTTAAAAACAAAGCCTAATACTCTTCTTTCTCACTCTTTACAGGGATTTGGGATACAATACCAAGATCTGTCCCTGGCTTTCTTCACATGGGTTCCTAGATGGTGACTCCATGACTTAGAAAGAGTAGATTTCTCATCTCATCCACCTGACGCTACACCTTTTAATTCTTTCCACCATCCCAGAACTCAAAAGGTAACCTATCTGACACCTCCCACCCTCTGTCATGCCCCGAGAACCAGACTCTCTTTTTTTCCTCCCCAAAGCTGATAGCAAGAGAATATCACCATTTTTCAAAAGGAAGTGTTCCCCCCGCTCCTTTTCCTTCATTATGCAGCCTTTACTTCAATGGGACTACTCACATGCTTAAATTACATTGTAGAATCAGGACCGTAACTAGGTAGCCTATTTTAAAGCATTGTTCCTCCTAATAGCATATATCATTTTGTCTGGTCAGCTATAATTTCATTGTTAGGGACTGCATTTAAAAGTCTTCTCATCATTATCTGTAGGTGGCAGAATCTACAATGTAACATACTGTGCTGGATCTGTCTAAGTCTCTTTTCCTCCTGATTGTGGTATATGAGCCTCAAAATCTGCTACATTTTGTTGGACCTGCAGATATCGTTAGCAAAATTTTAGCAATTTCACCCATCTATCCAACAAGACAGATTTATAAGTAGAGAGCCAGCCATCAATTTGAGGAAAATCTCTCCCACTTGGGAATAGTAATGACCCTCGTGTTCACATATTACTGTGCCTTGGGGTATAATACTTTTGCTTTCAAAAGTCCCTATGTGGAAGGGACCATCTCTGAGACAGAAAGAGTCTTTATTCTGACTCAAAGTGGTTAAGTCATCATATCACTAATGGAACAAAAACAGCTAAGCAGGGACCTGCTCTGTTTTGTCACAAAAGTCAGGCACTGGCCATACTGGTGGAGATTATCATTATCACATATTACTGAGCCAAGAATAATAGAAGTGTTCCATTTTACATCATATCTTGCTTTAATATAAGCAGTTCAAGTTTCTATTTTGATTATTCTTTAATTTAATCTTTTAGTAGAAAGCTGGTATTTAAGTATACATTGGACAAAATAATGTGAATCACCTTTGTAACAAATAAAACCAGGAAATTCACTGTTACCTATTATGGATGCCTATTTACTTACTCATGTTTTCTCTTGTTAATGAAGTGTTGACTGAATTACAACTGTTATATCATGAAAGATTGCCATTTCTAACAAAGACCAAAAGAGGAAATGAGTGCCAAATTAAAAGTCTTTGTTTCATATATATGTGTGTGTGTGTGTGTAATCTGTTTTTATATATATATGTGTGTGTGTATAATTTGTGTGTATATATATATGCATATACACACGTGCATATTGTACACATACAATATATCCAAATACGTTTGAAAAAGTGGTTTAAAATACAAACAATCACTAATGGAATAAAAACAGCTCAGCAGGGGTCTGCTTTGTTTTTCCCAACATTGCATAACACATAAACCAAATCTCGAATCATCGTTACCACAATTCACACACTTTCCATCATAGAATAATAGAAATGTAGGGCTGAAAGTGACCTCAAGAACTCCTCGAGTCCAGCCCACTCTGCAGAGGCAGCACCAAGTAAACCTAGGCCATCCCTGACAGGTATTTGTCCAGCCTGTTCTTAAAATTCCCCAGTAATGGGGATTCCACAAACTCCCTTGGAAGCCTATTCCTAATCCCTCATAGTTAGAAAGTTGTTCCCAATATCTAATCAAAATCTCCCTGTCTGGAGGTCCTGAAGGGGTAAATGTACACCTGAGAGGTCAATTAACATACCTGGCAGCACCTGCAAGAGAGAAAGCTCTTAATTGATAATGAAACCCAACTGGTGAGGGGCTGGGTAATAATTCTAAAGCCAGGAAGCTTGTATCAGCAAGAGGCAGCAGGGAGTCTACAATCACTCCCTGAGGGATAGAAGAGGTAGGAAGTGGTCCAAGGAGGAAGCAAGGAGCCTGAGGGAGTAGACCTTGGCTACCAGCTACAGGGTCTTTGAGCTGGAACCCAGAGTAGAGGTTCCCCTACTAGCCACCAAGGAAGGTGTGGTGAAATCCCCTGAGGTAAGGGGTATAAGGACTATGGAACCCAGAGACAGATAGAAGACCTGCTGTAAGATCATTGGACTATAGCCTGTCTGGACTCTCTAAAGCATGACGTCTAGAGGGCCAACCTACTTGAAGAGAGACCACTGCTGCAATGGAGCTACCATCAGCAGGGGGCCCAGTGTGCTACACCACATCTGGCCATGAGGAGGTGCTCCTGTGAATCTCCCTTACTGCAGATTAAGCCCATTACCTCTTGTCCTACCTTCAGCAGACATGAAGAACAATTGATCACTTTCATTGGGCCCCCCCTCAGTCTTCTTTTCTCAAGAATAAACATGCCCAGTTTATTTAACCTTTCCTCATAGGTCAGGTTTTCTAAACCTTTGATCATTTTTATTGCTCTCCTTTGGACTCTCTCCAGTTTATCCACATCTTTCCTAAAGTGTGGCTCCCAGAATTGGACACATTACTCCAGCTGAGGCCTCATCAGTGCCCAGTAGAATGGTACAATTACCTCCCAGGTTTTACGTACCACACTCCTGTTAATACACCGCAGAATGATATTAGCCTTTTTCACAACTACCTCACATTGTTGACTCATAGCAAATTTCTAATCCACTATAATCCCTGGATCCTTTTCAGCAGTACTATCACCTAACTAGTTATTCCCCATTTTTCAGTTGCACACTTGATTTTTCCTTCTGAAGTGAAGTACTTTGCACTTGTATTTATTGAATTTCATCTTGTTAATTTCAGACCAATTTTTAATTTGTCAGTGTCATCTTGAATTTTAATCCTGTCCTCCAAAGATCTTGCAACCCCTGCCAGTTTGATCCTGTCATCCAGAAATGTTATAAGCATACTCTCCACACCATTATCCAAGTCATTAATGAAAATATTGAATGGTACCGGACCTAGGACTGGTCCCTGTGGGACCCACTAGATACACTCTCCCAGTTTGACAGTGAACCATTGATTACTACTCTTTAAGTACTGTCTTTCAACGAGGTGTGCACCCATCTTATAGTAATTTCATCAAAATCACATTTCCCTAATTTTATTATGAGAGTGTCATATGGGTCTACATCAAAAATACTAAAGATATATAATATCTATTGCTTTCCCCCATCCGCTAGGCCAGTAACCGTGACAAAGAAGCAAATTAGGTTGGTTTGACATGATTTGTTCTTAACAAATTGGTGCTGGCTTACAAATTGATTGTACATGCTTACAAATTGATTGTTTAATAATTTGTTCCAGTATCTTTCCAGGTATCAAAATTAGTCTGACTTTTCTCAATTCCCTGGATCCTATTTATTCACCTTTTTAAAGATAGGTACTATGTTTGCCTTTCTCCAGTCCTCTGGGACCTCAACCATCCTCCATGTATTCTCGAAGATAATTGCCAATGGTTCAGAGCTTGCTTCAGCTAGTTCCTTAAGTACCCTAGAATGAATTTCAGCAGGCCCTGCCAACTTGAATACATCTAACTTATCTAAATATTCTTTAACCCATTCTTTCCCTATTTTGGCTTATATTCCTTCCCCCTGTGCTATTAATATTATTTGTGTTGCAAATCTGGTCACCACTAACCTTTTCAGTGAAGACTGAAGCAAAATAGGCTTTAAACACCTCAGCCTTCTTGATGTCATCAGTTATTAGCTCTCCTTGCCCACTAAGTAGAGGACCTACACTTCCCTTCATCCTTCTGGTGCTCCTAATGAATTTAAAGAACCTCTAATTGCCTTCTGTCTCTTGCTTGATGTAACTCATTTGGTGCCTTAGCTTTTCTGATTTTTAGAGCCTGGCACAGATACAAATTTATATCCATGGATCCATGTGGGACTGCTGCTCCCTTCCACGCAGCAGTCTGCATCTCCTATCTGGGAGCGTGCAAGCCATTTGCACACACGAGTGTGACCAGGGACAGCTGCTGGTGACCCTGGTGCCTGCCCCAGTGGGCGGGGCTAGGGCCGGGGCTGCGAAAAGTACAAACATGCCGGAGTAACTGCTAGCAAGCAGCGGTCACACGTGTTGCTCCTTTCACTGCGGAGGTTCCCGGTAGAACGCTGCAGCTCCGTGGATACCGATTTATATCTGCATCCACAAATATAAATTTGTATCCGCACAGAGCTCTACTGATTTAGTCTCTACATGGTGCACTGAGTTTGAGTTCTAAATATTGCAGACTGATGGGCAAGGAAGATGATCTTAGCAAATGCATTTTGAATGGACTAGGAGAGAGGCAATTTTTCTTTTGACAAGAAATATGAATTATGGAGGCGTCCCCAGAACCTTTGTCATATCAAGCCAAGAAATAAAGATATTTCTTAAGATTTTTCTCACCTGAAAAATTATGCTGTAGTGAATATTTCTTAAATGCCATATTGTAAATATACTAGTTCTTGGAGGATGATATTTTGTTTAACAAGTCTTTTGTGATCATGAGAAATATATTTATATGACTAACTATGTCACATATTGTTTGAATTAAAACAATTGGTTATTTGGGTTCAGCAGTGTTCATGAAGCCAGGCTTGCTGAGTTTAACTTCCGAAATTAAACCAGGAAGGAAATCTGCAGTTTCACCCTGAGAGAGAGTGAGACTATCTCATGTTGTGTCTGGACTTTGGAAATAAGAGTCAGGATGTTTTGGGGCTGCGCTGAAATGAAATAAAAACTCATATATAAACCATTATCCCAAAGACAGCATTTTATGCATCATAGAAAAGCTTTCAGTTAACTAGAAAGAGCGACTGAAACAGTTGTGATCTGAAATACTGAGCTGTTAAAACTACTTAACATGAAAGAATTATGCACCTGCATGTAATTAGAATGATTCATTGCTAGGAAGATTGCATTATGGTGTATAACATGAATAAATGAGCTAGGAAGACACATTATCATGCAAAGGGAATTCTAGAAGAGCATGTTATCATTTTGTAGCAACTGAATTGCAAGTATAGGAGGAAATATATAATAAAAATGGGAAGGTGCATGGATACAAACACTAATGTCAAAGTTCATTTCACATTCTATTAATGAGGGACTGAAACAGGCTCTTTGCAATATACAGCTGATGTATATATTAATGTTAAATAAAAATTACATCCATAAGATAAGCTGTTTAACACTCTACTAAAATATTCATCAATTTTTTAAGCTTTCACTTCAGGAATCAAACAACTAACAGTTAATAAAAATCAAGCTTAGCCATTTACTTCACATGAATGAGAGTTTGCACATCTGGCACTACAGAGGCAATTTGTGTGCAGAAGAACTGTGCATGGTTTGAGCAGAACTTATTATTACTAAATGTTCATACTTTGAGCATTGCCTAGTAACATTTTCATAACAATTCTAACATAAAAGATAGTACCAAAGGTTTGTTGGAAATTGTTATTGTTTCAGAGATTATTCAAAGTTGGTTTGCTGAGTCTGAGCAATTACCATATAACACAGTTGAGGGTTCTTCTGCCAGTCCTCTTCTCAACTACCAGTATGGAAAATCAGCTTCATCTTTTGGCCTATGCCAGCTCTATGCCATCTGTTGCGTCCCTTGCACCAGGAGAATATCCAGTCAGCCAGTAAAATGTCAGAGTAGGGCAAAGCAGGCAAAATGTGGGTGGGGAATAGGAACTAGCCTACTGACTGTAGCCAGTGTTTTTCATACTTACTGGATTGTGGGTTTTGTGCCACAGGTACGTATATTCATAAGTCTCTGCAGGATCAGGGCCTAAAACTGAAATGGCCTAAAGATCCCATGGTCAGGTCCCTGGCAGGCTCTGAATATGTAAAGAATATATTTCAGAGTGAATAATTTGACAAGCTATATGTGTTTGCAGGGAGTGTAAGTACACCCATAATTTGCAATAAGGTATACTCATAGCTGTAGTATAAGAACATAAATAGACAGAGATAGGTTCTAGTCCAGTGGTTTTCAAACTGCGGGTCACGACCCAGTGCTGGGTCGTGGAATGTAAGGCACAAGGTCGCAGTGGCTCTGGTTAGCACCGCCGACCAGGCCTTTAAAAGTTCCATCGGCAGTGCTGCCCGGCTAAGGCAGACTAGTTCCTACCTGTTCTGACACCGCGCTGCGCCCCGGAAGTGGCCAGTAGCAGGTCCAGCTCCTAGGCATGGGGGGCCACGGGATTCTGTGCGCTGCTCCTGCCCCAAGCACTGGCTCCGCACTC